TGGTGTGCAGGATCAGGGCTCAGTGACTGTTTCCTTAAGAGGATCAAATGAACTGATTATTGGATTAAGCAACAAACACTGTTGTCATTACCAGGTTTGGTAAGGTCTAGAAATGGTCCTTTTACATGTTCTTGAAACTGTTGCTCAGTAAGCTGGTAGGTGGTATAGGTTGGCTAACTTCAAAGACTAAGTGTGTTAATGTGGGGAAACATGTGTTTTAGGGAAAAGAAGAATTCATTTATTCAAGACTGAAAGCTAAAGGTCTGCAAACAAGAGATGAAACAGGTCAGTGAGGCTGCTGTATGCAGTTTAGTGTGTCTTCTGTTTACCTTTGGGTTTTGCTAATTTCAATTCCCAGAAAGCTCAAGAGCAGTGGTTACCAACCAGTGGATCTCAATCCACCAGTAGATCCCAGAGCCTCTTGCAGTAGATCTCGGGCCTCTTGGAGTCAGTCTGAGGCTGGGTTGGAGGGCTGAGTGCCCGCATGCATGCATGTGTGCACCCCAGCCCAGCAGGTCAGGCTGTGGGGGAGGGAAGAGGTGGGGGCTAGATCGAGGCCTCCACAGTGAGGGACAGTGCCGCAGAGGCAGGAGCAGGTAAATTGAGCGACGCCCTGGCCGGGTGAGACTTATCTGCTGGGGAGGCACATCCCCAAATATTTTTTTTCTCCCTCTGCCTCGATTTGCCCCACTCCTCCTTTCTTCCCCACAGACTTACCTTCTGGGAGTGGGGGCAGTGGCGGTGCATGGTAGATCTTGGGTTGTTTTTTAAATGCTAAAGGTGATCTTCTACATAAAAAGTTTGGAGACCAGTGCTCAAGAGCAAATCCAGCCACCTCTGTGGCTGCAGGGGTATGCTGTGCCTCTAGGAGCTCTGGCAGCCTGAGATCTCTGTTCCCAGGAAGGGAATCCATAATTACTTGGTAGTCCAAGTTAAAGCATCCCTTCTCCCCCTCACACACAGTCACTCCAGTGAAGAAGTGGAGCTGAATGTTAGAGAAAGTTTGCTCCTGAACACACGTTATGCTGGGGCTGCTAGCCTCACAAATCTGGGCTGTCTGTGATAAGAGAGGGGCTGGTTTACCTGGGCTGCCCGTGTGGCTGGGAAGGCAGTTAGGCTGTCCAGGCATGTGACCTGGGGGTCTACAGCCCATGCAGTGTGTGCCCCCCAGCACTGTCCAAAAATTGGACAGCCCTGGCTTATGCATGCAGCTTGCTTCCTTGAGGAAGAGGGAATCAACTTCTGAGGAAGGAACAGCTATTTCCCAAGCTTACTTGCCTGAGCCCAGTTTCTGTAAAATGGTTGCATGTCTGTTTAATGAGATGGAACTAAAAATAAGATACTAATACAGGGGATCTGTAGAGCATGGTATTGAGCATGCCTGAAAAGAATCATTTGTTAGATTGTATTATCAGAGGAGGCCATGAAAGGATCTAGTCTGACCTGTATTTTACAGATCATTACATTTCTCCTACTTATTCTTGTTTTTAATTCAGTATCTTGCTAATTCAATATCTTGATTAATTAGACTAATTAGATAAATTGAATTTCTGTCTTGTTTTTTAAAATAACAGAATTTAAACTTATATCACAGTGTTAGTTTTCACTTGTTATTGTTTTATTTAGTTTACAGAAATAACAGAAAACAATAAATTTATATATTTCTGGAACTCATCAACTAGTAGAGATGCACTTTGTACAAGTGCTGGAGCAAACATTTTCCCATACAGTAATTTAAGAACAATGAAGAAGAGAACTGAAGCTTAAATGAATGCTTGTCTGTCCACAGTTTACTTGTTTGGGAGTTTCTATTAATGTAACAGGTTACTTAAATACATTAATCATTTATATATCAGGCATTCTTTTCACCCAAATGCAAGAGAGAGTCTGCTCTACTGCTATCAGAATCAAGAAGTAAATCAAGATAAAACAAAAAAAATATCCTTGCAAACAATTATATAACCTTCAAATTGTCTCACTCTGTATTACTCTCATGACACCTTAATCCCCAGCAGTATTGCAGAGCTGTGAATGCTATCATAATAATGACTAAGAATAATACTTAACGTTTCAAGTTTTTTAAGTAGCTTAAAAAAAGGTGTTATTTAAGTGCTCAGGTTTGAGTGAATGATACACAGGAATCCTGCCTCACTGTAAGTACATGAGTTTTTTCCCTGAAAACACTTGTTTAGATGCCTAAAATGCTGTTGCTGTGCATGCCCCTGGTTAGCACATTCAGGTGATTGCAGCTGCTCAGTGCCTTTCACGCACTTAGGCATGGGGACTGGTCCAGTAGTTATGCTCAGAGCATACCTCGCACATGCCAGTGACAATGACTTGAGCAACAAAGCACACAGCTATGACTATTTACATTAAAAAATAACAGCAAAAAGAGGAAGTAACGATGCCAGCACTGAGAGGGTTGAAAATGTCTTCACCCCAGTCTAGCCTACAGTGTGATGATTAGGGTGCTCTCCTGGTAGGTTGAAGGAATGGAAATGAATTGTCTCTGGCTGATAATAGTTCAGATTACAGATCTACTCCTCAGGTGGAAATAATCTTTTAACTAAAAAACTCTCAAGGGGTGCTTTAAGGTCCTTTTGGGGTGCTGCGTGATGTTGGTACTATTAAGTGTGCAAACATGTTTCACAAGATAAATTCAGAGAGAAATTTCAAATGGAAATTTTTAGTGTTCAAAACATTCAGACATATTGTCATCTTTTTGAGTTCTTTACAACAGGTGAATTGCTCTATTACTGTGTAAAAGGTTGGGACTGACTTCATTACTCCTCTGTGTCTTAGAAGAATGCATGAGCTATTTTGTATTTCCTACTCTATGAAAGACTTAAACAGAAATTGCTATAGTTAAACTGTAGTTCAACCTTTGGCTTCAGATTTATTATAGTTGTGCCTACAGGTCACAGGGCCAACTGTGCAGAGACAAAGGGTGAGAGATGTAAAAGTGAGTCAAAAAAACCTCAGTGACTCAAGGTCACATAGAAATTGAGTGGCAGCACAGTAACTGAACACAGGTCCCTTGAAGTCCAATCCAGTGTATTAACAATTTTATATTTAAATTTACTTTCAGGTCACAAAATAACACTGAATGCAGAAGAAATGGCTGAGTTTTACAAGGAGTTTTTAAGTAAAAATTTTAAAAAGCATATGTGTTATAACAGGTATGTTGAATGCTACATCTTATCAGCTACTTTGAAGGGACACCATCAACCTAAAGTATTCTTCAGTCTGAAATGTTTTTCTTGCTATAGTTACAAATAACATCTATGATGATGATTACTGACAAAGGCTAGAAAAGATGCACATGTTCTCTTTTTTTCCACCGTTATTTACTTTGCATTTAACAACTGTTTATGGATAATCCCTTTGAGTACTTCCTTTATGGTTAAATTCAACTTCCCTGAATCACTGTTAGTCTTTCTACAGACTTCAGTGGGAGCTGGGACACATGTTCAGCTAGTTAGTTTCCTCTTTTATTATGTGGATATTTCCCACAGTAACATGGAAGGGGAAAAGTCAACATAGGTAAACATGAAATTAAACCCATTTAAATTATATTTCAGATAATGAGGTTTTATTTAGCCACGTACCTTTTCAATAAATTGAATAAGGCAGTAATTTAAAAAGTCATGTCAGTTGCATTATTTTAGGTATTGCAATGTTGTCCATAACCTTGTGGAGGTGAGGTGAAACTGATTGGTACTGTTTTGTTGGGGGTGTGGGAAGTTGTGTGAGTTTTTCCTTTTGCTGGCTGTGAACTAGCTTTCCTTTTGCTGGCTGTGACTGTGCGGAGCTTCAGGTGCTGAATTGATTCAGAGGAGATTCGGCCTGATTCGGTGGCCGAATCTCCAAATCCGAATCGAATCAGCAAACCAATAAAAAGGTCTGAATCTATCTGAAGCTCTTTGAAACCATTCGGAAAAGATTTGGAGGGCTTCAGTGATTCGGGCAGTCCCCGCCCACTGCAGCAAGTTGCTGGAGCTGAACGAGGAGCGGCTGGAGGGAGGGGAGGGGACCATGGGGGGACCCCTGCCAGGCCCCATCCCCTACTTACTCTCCCAAGTCCCCACCCATGGCTGCCCCATCCGCCCCAGCTCCTCGTGTTTTAAAAAAAAAAAAGCCCCCACTCACTGGGTGCTACCTGGTGGTGGGATAATCCCACTGCTCCTCATTGCCCCACACCACACTGCATGGGGGATCCTGCCACAAGCCCCCTGACCACCCCCCCTCACTCCCCCAGCTCCCCTATGGCTGCCCCACTCACCACAGCTCTGGCCCTTTAAGAAAAAAAAAAATCTGGACTCGCCGATTCCTGCAGTGGCTTTGGGGCTTTGAGGGCCTTGTGCAGAGCTCCCCATGCAGCTCGGGGCATCGGGGATCACGCCCCACCAAACGAGAACCAGTGAGTCTGGGGGGCTTTTTGTTTTTTTCTTATAGGGCCAGAGCTGGGGCAGGTGGGTCAGCCATGGGAGGGCTTGGATGGGGGTGGGGCAGGGGGGCTTGTGCAGAGCCCCCCCACACAGTGTGGGGCAGGGGTGATGCCCCCCTCTCCTCCACCTGGCAGCACCTGGTGAGTTTGGGCTTTTTTTTTGAAGTGCCAGGAGCTGGACTGGGCAGCCATTGCTGGGCTGGGGGAGCAGGCGGAGGATGGGCCTGTGTGATTCAGAGATCTGGCAGCAGCTGAATCTCTGAATCAGTTTCAGCCAAATCGATTCGGGACAGTGATTTGTATCACCGAATTGAATCACTGTCCCCTTATCGGCTGAATTCGGATCTGAAGTGAATACTAGCTGCTTTGCACAGGCCTACTGTGAACTTAATTCAATATCACACCTGATGGAGCATCTCAGCCCCTTTTCTCACCCATGTTGTAGAGTCTATTTCTTTGGGTTGTGTTGAAGAGTTTGGACTCAAAGGGATTCATGTTACTAGAACTATTACTTTACAAGCTTCTAATGAATGATTGGGTTGTAAACATTAGGGGCTACAGACTATACAAGCGGGACAGAACGGGGAGGAAAGGCAGGGGTGTGGTGCTCTGCATCAAAGAGCAATACACATCCTCAAAAAACGGCATGGGGTCAGAGAAGGGGTAGACATAAGTGCTCTGGGTAAGAATACATGGGGGTCGTGGGGAAGGAGACTTAACGGTGGGTATCTACCACAGCCCACCCAACCAGGGGGAAGAGCCGAACTGGGAATTCTCAGGTCAGCTCGTGGAGGCAGTTAAGGCAAGGGATGTGGTCATCATGGGTGACCTAAACTATCCGGACATCTGCTGGGAGGAGCAGTCAGCCAGGTCTGACCACTCACGTAAATTCCTAGCCAAGATACAGGACCTCCACCTAACCCAGGAGGAGCACAGTCCCACCAGGGGAAATGCCTTGCTTTATCAGCGATTTGGATGAGGGTGAAAAGCATCTTGTTCAAATTTGCAGATGACACTAAGATGTGGGGAAACGTGGGCACAATAGAAGGGAGGGACAGGCTACAACTAGATCTGGACAGGTTGCAGGGGTAGGCAGATGAGAATAAGATGGTATTCAATACTGACAAGTGCAGGGTACTACACCTAGGGAGAAAGAACTAGCAGTATACCTATAGGCTGGGGAACTCCCTTCTCGTCAGCACAGAGGCAGAAAGGGATCTTGGAGTCATTGATTCCAAGCTGAACATTTGCCGCCGATGTGAGGACGCGGTCAGTAAGGCTAACCACACCTTGTCATGCATCCACAGATGCATCACGAGCAGGTCCAAGGAGGTGATCTTCGCCCTCTATGCAACATTGGTCAGGCCGCAGTTGGAGTACTGCATCCAGTTCCGGGTGCTGCACTTCAGGAGGAATGTGAACAGCATTGAGAGGATTCAGAGGAGGGCCATTTGCATGATCAGGGGGCAGCAGGGCAGGCCCTATGAAGAGAGGCGGTGGGACCTGAACCTGTTCAGCCTCCA